CCTTATCTGTACATAATTGTAGATCCTTTTTCTAGCCTCTGCTGAACAAGATGCTGTCCAAGCATTCTCTGTCATTATTTTTCTAGTACTGGGAGTGAACCCAGGGCTGAATGCTTGTTAAGCAAGCACACTACCACTTTAGCTACACTCCCATATATCACTTTTACAAAAAGTTTTCGTTGCAATAGCCACACATGAATATAATGTACTTTGATCAGATTTACCCACTCTGTTGTTCTTTCTTATCTCATCTCCATTTTTGACAATTTTAATGGGTTCCACATTGTATTTTTATATTATGTGTATGAAACACTTTTATCATACGCACCCTCCTATCAATCTCTCATTTTTCCCTTCCCTTTCCCAATAGTCAGATCCCCTTTTACATTTATGTCACTTTTGTTCTAGGTCTAGCTTCTGCAGATGATAGAAAATGTATTGTTTGGGCTGGGAAGGTGGCTTAGTGGTAGAGTGCTTGCCTAGCATGCATGAGGACCTAGGTTTGATTCCTCCTTATCACATAAATAAATAAATAAATATATTTTTAAGTTTAAAAGATAAAGTAAAATTACAACTTTGATATAGAAGCCAACTACCTATATTATCTAGCCCACAGCTTGAAGAAATGCACCATCCCTTCCCTTCATTTCTCCTTCACCTCCCTCTGTCCTCCTCCCTGAGCAGCCGCCCTGCAGAGAACCAGGCAAGCCAGCGTGCTCCCCAGCAAGACAAAAGTGTTCTATGCATTAACAAGCCAGACATCTGGGTGCCTTTTAATGCTTTTAAAACACCACTTAATTAAATCGCATTTTAAGTTTTAGAAGATGAACAATGAATGCCACTCTGATGGAAGATTTTTTTAAGTGTCTTTTTCCAATGAAATCAGAAGCATAGCTCTGACTCAATCGTTTTCAAGTGAAATTTAAAATCTCTACATGTGTATTATTGAGTTTAAATTTTTTCAAAAGCAGATTTTTAGGATGCCTTTCATCCTAAAGCTGCTGGTGGGGATGGGGGACCTACTGGCTCTACCTGCTCTCGGGTGTTAGGTTTATTATTTAAAACCTAGAGACATTCAAACCTAGCCTGAGCAGAAAAGTCCCTGGAACTCTTAACTCCAAGTGGCTCAAGTGGCAGAGTACCAGTCTTGAGGGAAAGAGCTAAGTACATTGCCCAGGCCCTCAGTTCAACCCAGTACCAGCACAAAACAAAAATACCAAAAGAGAAAGCCATATGCAAAAGTACTGTGTTAAAACTCAGTTTTCACCAGGTGTGGGTGGCTTACACCTGTAGCTACTCAGGAAACTGAGAGCTGAGGATCACAGTTCAAAGGCAACTCAGGCAGGAAAGTCCCAAAATTCTCATCTCCAATTAACCACCAAAAAAGCTGTACAGCTAGGGCTCAAGTGGTAGAATGCTAGCTTTGAGCAAGAAAGCACAAGGACTAGCCTTGAATTCTAGCCCCAGGACTGGCACAAAAAAGACACAAAAAAAGAAAAAAGGAAAAGAGCCCTCAGTTTCCAGGATAAGTTGCAGGGACATTTCAGTAGTGACATTTCAGTAGTGAGTGGAA